TTGATAATTAATTTATAATATATCTTGAGCAATATTATTATCGATAATTATTTTGTTTATCAGTATTCTTTCTCGTTACGAATATTGCGAACGATAATTATCAGTACAAGCAATTATACGAATGTAATAATTGCGTTCAACTGTAAAACTTTGTACTTTCGTACGTGAAATGATCTTCACCGGTTGTTCTTCCGCTTCTCACCATTTTCCACGAAACACTTTTGAGAATCAATTATGTACTAACCGATAGTAGATGGAATCAATTAGGCTTGATTACCTGAAACGTCATTAGGGATTCCGCACAGCCGACGATCCGCGGTTTATCGCGAGAGAACTACGGAGAAATTGATGCTTTATACCAGAAACGCGACGTGAAAGCGAGTAGTAATGTGAAGTGATACGTATGTAATTTAATCCTCGGTCATTGACACTTACAAAATTTAGAGTTGCTTGATTCACTTTCCACTGATAATGACCAAGGAATACTATTATAATATACATTGTTAAGGAACATTAAATTTTATTATTTTTGCCATAATATAATTTACCTTTTATGTCTTTTTTCATTTATGGATCCTCTGATCTATTCATCGATACTTTTTTAATAGCAAAATTTAATTAAATTATTAATAAACGTTTAATTAAGTGATTAAGAGAGAGAATTCAGATCTTTAAAGACAGTTGGAAAATAGGTATTTTCTTTTCTATAGTATTATAGTATAAAAAAGTACATCGTGATGAACTTTTAGACAAATATTTCTTTAAACAAATAAATAATTCTTTAGCTAAACAATTGTAGACTCGCTTAGCGAATCAACAATTAGCTTTTTGTATTTATATGTACATTTTCTATCGCAATTTATATATGCGAGCACAGTAAAGCAGGTGTTCAAAACTGGGTCTTGGATGGACCAAGAATCACTCTTACCTAATCTAGCCATCGATTTTAATGTTACCGCTTCAAGGATGGTTGCTTCCTTTACGTAACGATGCGCTCGTGAAAAAAAAACATTGTCTGTGTAATAAAGATATTATTACGTAAGAGCAAGATCTCCGCGAGGCCAATCGCAAATTGTATCTAAGTCGAAAGCATAACAAAGTTCAGGACTTCATCAATCACGTGGAGCCTCCGTGTTGACGAATGGTCGCGTCAGCATCTCGTTAGAACAATTGGAAACTTCGACGAATGATTTAAATTTTATGAACCGACAATGAATCGTGCTTGTATTTGTTACAACAAATGAACAAGATAGGAAAGTAGATTATTTTGTGGTTTTTCCCGCTACGATGGAAAGGTCAGAAAACGAGGCCACGAACCGACAGGAAATTACACAATAGAGAGCACGTTCCTATTCTCACAAGGGAAATTCTGTATATGTTGATAATGTTTTTTAACGAGGACTTGATTTTCTCGTTGTATCAACGAATATTTCCTCTCGAGTATTTCGTCTTACGGGATGTTATCCTCGTTGCAAAATATATCAAAGCGGCATGTTTAAAGGAGCTTCATCTACGTTATAACGTGATTACAAAAGCCTATTTCTCTACTGATCGTGAAATTACGCGTATGTGTGTAAATTGCCACGCTAATGCGTCATTTTAAACATGAATACATCTTGTCACTACGTTTACCAAGCGGAATTTGACGACGGTTTGCAGTAAGAACTGAGCCAAACGAGACAACTCCCAGAATAATCCAGTGATATTTCGAGATGACGGCGGACGTCATTACGGACTCTCATTTTGCTGATGAACTAAGTTTCGTAGAATAGTTGCATTATGACATGCTACGAACAACCATTGCGATATTGAATAAAAAGCTGATCATTAAATTAGCATAAATCTTTATTTAATTTTTTGTGACATCTGCTATTTACAGCAAATCGAGAGTTCAGAAGATGTAATTTATTTATATCTTTAAATTAAAAACTGTATTGCCAAAAAACTCAGCATTAGCCTTATTTTTTGGTTCTTTTGCTCTTTTAACAATATATCGGTATATAATTGTTTAGATATTGTGTATAAAATGTGTATTAATTAAATTTTTTTATGCAATTTAATATGCAAATTTTATATATCTAAAATATTTTTGATAACATTTTTCTATAAAAATATTGTGCTAAACTGATAAATTTTTGTAATAATTTCTGATGCATATAATCTAATATTTAGTGAGAAGAGTTAACTCACAAATAATGCATGGACTTTCTTGCAATTTTAAATTATAATACCCACACCCATTTGAAAGCTATTTTTATGCACTTTTGCAATATGATGATGACTCATTAATCTAAAAAAAATTTGTATTTTAATAAAACAAGTTATTAATAAAAATATAACAATTTTGCATAATAAAACTGAAGACTTCGTTTAAAAAAGGCCGCATAACAAATATTTACATAGATATTCTCTAAAATTTTTTATATCTCTGTCCTATATTTTTTTCATTTTTATTCCCATATTTTCATATTTTTATTCTAGAGAATTTGTCAAAAATGTCAAAAAGCGATAAGATTAAATAAACGAGACAAATTTAAAAAATCCTAAAAATGTTAATGGAATTAAAAGTGAAATATTTAACCGCTCGTACAGCCTTTTTAGAACGAACGTCTCTATATCATTTGCGATCTACCTCGATGTTCCCATATCACGGTCGACGAACTCCATCGTCACCTGGCAGTAGACAATCTTGACAACGTACATCGCGGTTCGAGCCGCTGCGGCACTTCGCACTGACGACACTTCGCACCGTCGGTCCTCTCCTCGCGTTGCGAGTGATTTCCGATGTGCAGGAGACACACGCGGCTTGTCAAGCCCTTTGTGTCGTGTAGTATGCACGTGTGCGTACGTATCACCAGGAGAGAGGAACGGGGAGAAACGGTTGGAAAAGGAGGGAAACGGAGAGTAACTGAGAGAGAGAGAGAGAGAGAGAGAGAGAGATATTCGGATGCAAAGACGGATATCCGGTGTTCCGCTACTACGATCACGCTACGACGCATGCTGCCGCTAATTAGCGATACCTCGATGGATCGCGCGGATTGTTTGACGCTGATTGATCCTGTTGAATAATTGCCTAATATCGCTTCGATAAATATCGTAAATCAATATTGTTATACATACATGAAAGAGGATATTATCTCAAAATTATTGTAATTATTGCAACTACATTTCTGATGTCTTTCTTTCGATTATCATAATATATCAATATTGTTAGATATATTTATCTGAAAACATGTTCATGTTGAAACGTAACGTTGCAACTATACACGTATTATTATATACGTTCGAATTACTTTACAGCATAATTACTCCTAATGAAATCTAATTGAGTAATAGCAAACACGATAATCTGGAAACACAATCAGGTTGAATCTATCTAGGAGATAATCCGCCAATTTAATTTTAGAGATAGAAATTTTGCCATTCAAGCTCTGTTTAAGATGCATCGCATTCATCAAATTTACACGAAGCATAAATTAAACTAATTAACAAAACAACAGGTTTGCAAAATTGTTATTTACGATAGCTTTTGTGACGAAAATTAACCTTGTACACTTATGGTAGAGTTATAAGTCGACACAATTTTTCTGAATTGTGAGAGCTTGTTTTAATTTTACGGGATTAATTGAAGCAGATTACACAGCATAGTTGGAAAGTATCATTTATAACTGAATGATATTGCAAAACGCCAACGCACATGAATCTTTATTTGGTTCTCAAAATAAAACGGGAATTTACGGTTAGCATTTTGCAGTCTCTCCTCGTATAAAAAAAAAACGTTCAGACAAAGTCGCGTAATTAGACCACAACCGTGTTAATAAGCTTTGCCTGACCGTGGCAATACGGCAGTAATTAGCTATTACTATTACTAATTGTGAGGCATCGTCTGAGAAACTATAGTGAGACGAACGGGATTCCAGATCTCAAAGTACAGAAGCTCGGAGTGGCACGGGCTAAATTTTCCGGGGATCTTTTAAATTATTCGTGGCAACCTTGTCCCAGTTTAAATTGACTCTTTTATCTCGGTTTTTTGCGATCATGCAGAATAATCCAAAGGAAAGCTGCATTTATTGCTTTTAAGCACAATATTTTCTATTTTGTTCATATATGTGTTGGTAGCGGAAGTTTGTAAAATCCCATACAGGAACAATAAATTTGTCTGTTTACTAAATGTAATACACAGATAGAATAAAAACAGGTAATGTTAGGGTTATTGATTATATTCAATAGGGATTTATTTTTATTTGTTAATTTTGAAAATAAATAAAAATAAAAATAAATTCTTATATTGAAAAAAAATCTATATATAAAATAATATGAAAAAAA